TCATATTTATCCAATTCTAAAGCTAATGAGTTAGGATTGTGATATTACTAAAATAAGACTCATTACTTTATTAAAATTTCTTAGAAAAGTTATGGTTAAAATTATTATCAACTGACTTTCTTATATAATGACTAAACATAATATTCTAAAAGGAAACAATTTCACAGACCTATTAGAAGATTCTACTGAAGATCTAATTAAAATCATAAATAAAGATAGTTCCCATAATTATTTTTAAAATTTTAACTAATTGTAACTTAAGTTGCAACACTTTGAGTTGCAACTATTTATGAATTTTTATATTAAAATAAATTTACAAGGAGTTGCAACTTACCGAGTTACAACTTCTTAATTATGGTATCCATTTTTAATCATAAATATAATCATTGAGGATTCTGTTAAATATAAAAAAGAAATTTGGATCCTTTTATAAGATTTATCTAAAGCTTATGATAGAATCAATCTTAATATTAAAACTTGTTCTCAGACTAAAAATAAGATGAAATCCAAAAAAGGCAATTAATAAACAATGAAGAATATGATAAAATCCTAAAACCTGAAATTAGCCAAAACTATATTAAAAACATAGTAAAAGATATAATAAAATTTTTTTGAGAGATTTTTAGCGAACATTTTTACCTCTGACATCTTAAAATTTCAAAGATTGTATTATATATCTTTTCAATTTATTTACTAATAAAAAGAATGTTATTTTTATTAAAAGACAGACTTTCTGATTATTATGATATCAAAATAGGAATTAATCAGAGTAAGGTTATTTTGCCTCTTCTATAATACATATACTGTATTTTGATTTTCTACTATATGAAATTGACCAATTAAAAAAATGCTATAATTTAAATTATATATGGATCTTTGACTTAACTAACATCTTATCTTTTCTTTTTATCAATATTTTATTTCTTAAATTTATAGATAATGCAAATTAAATCATCAGCTCTTAAAAAAATTTAGAATATATTTAAGATATAGCTAATGAATATTAATCTATCACATGTATTACAATCAACAAAAAAAATTACAATTATTAATCAATACTCCTTTCTTCTTTAATCCCATTTTTTAAAAATTTGATTTATCTTGTATTTTTATTAAACTAGAACTGTATTTAATTCGTTTTTAGGCTTATAGATTAATATTTTTAACTTGTCCTCTTTTGTGAAGAATCAAACCAAAAATACTATTACCTTCTTTATTATAATCCTCAAATCCAAACCTTTTACTGACAAATAATTAATTTACATACTCAATGTAATTCTTATGTTACTTTTAGAATATTGTATACAGATGACATCATTGTCATTTATAGAATGCAATCATTTTCTATGCCTATGCAAAGATTGTTAAACATAACTCTAATTTTGCTATTTAAGTACTGAATTGCCTCTTCAAAGGAAAAAATTTTTACAACTTGCATAATCTTTGGAATCAGCAGTTAAAATTCTCTTCATAGCTTTTCTCTACCAGTTCAATTTCAAGTCGCTCTTTATATATATTTTTAAGATTAGACTATTTAATCAATAAACAAACTATAGACTGCATATTTCACCTTTAGTCAAGTGGAATTTATCCTTTAACAACAAATCTTTTCATAATTTAATCAGTACTACCCTCAGTCTTCTCAAATAAAATGGATTGAAAATCTCTTTTAATGTATATATATTCTTAGAAATAAAATCATTGATGACATCACTCCTCTTGATTCAATCTTATTTCAAGATACTTTGTTTGAATATAAATATATCATTCGCAAATTTTCTCTTTTTTTCTTAACCAGTTTCTTGACAATGATGGATCTTCTCTGATAAAATAGTAAATAGATCTTGTTATTTTGTAGAAAAAATAATGTTTTAAATTTTTATAAATTAGTCAATACTTTAGTAATAGATAATAATAATTCTAGATTAGTTAAAAAATTTTATCAATTAACTTATATCAATAATTTTTCTATATATCTTTATAGTTTAGAAATTAATATAGATGATAAAAAAACTGAATATATTTAACACTTAATACTTAATTTAATAGACCAATCATCAGAAAAATTGCCAAAAAGTTAAATCTTACAATAATTTAGTAATATAATATTATATTTATTTTGATAAACATGATAGTTTCTCCTTTCTTTATAATGAACTAGCAATCATTAAATATAAAGATTATTTCTATTAATAATAAGGACTTTTTAAATAACTGTCACAATTCTTCTTATAGTTAAAGAAAATTTTTGGCTTCTTCTTCTTTTAACATTCTATATGTAAAATTATCACCTGAACTTAATTATTTCATTCATTAAATCAACTAGAGTTCATTTATCTAAAGGAAATTTTTTTATGAAGGTTTCAGTCAATGAAATACTTAAATTACTTTCATATTAACTTAAAAGAAAAAATGCTGATCATATTTCTTAACAAAACACAATTGATACAATCATACCTTTCTTACATACTTTGTATTTATTTTTAAACAAAAATGTTGAACTGATTAAACAAATTATTGTTAATCCAATTCAGTAAGATAGACTTATTCAACTTTTCAATAATTTACAACATTTATCTTTACTTATAATTTATACAGATAGATTATTTTCGAACATTATAATATAGATATGTTTTAATTAAAGATGGAAACTGTAATTAATATGTTGCAACTTTTAATGTTGCAACTTACGTTGCAATTAGTTTTAACCTATATATGTTGCAACTAATTTTAGCTTATGTTGCAATATTTTGTAAATTTGAAATCAATTGCTGTACTATCTTTACTTTTACCTCAATTTTTCTTAGATAGTTAAGCTATAATTTAAGGCTTTGATCAATATATTGCGAATAGTTTTTTAACTATTAGATCTAGGAATAAAATTTCTAATTATGCTACATGGACTTTACTATATCATATTATCTTTTAATATTAAATTAGTTAAAGTTAAAGAACATTATGGTGATCTCTTTAATAATAAAGCTGATATTTTAACAAAAAAGACTATTCACAACTTGTTTTATAATTTAATTTCTTATCTGTAGATAATTTAAAACTTATTATGACTTTTAATACAATTCTGATTGAATTATTTTCAAATTTTGAAGAAATCTCAACTTTGTTGAGCAATTTTCTTCTTTTATAAATTACAAAGAAATACCTTTTTATAATAATTTATTAAGACTTCTTTTATAATTTGACTTCCTTCTTTGAAAAATTATAACTGTAAGTTGATACATTAACTATGATAACCTTTATTCAAAGAAATAAAAGACTTTTAGACCAAGATTCTTATTGAAGAATTATTGACCTTAAACAAACTTATTGCTAGGCCTGATTTATATACTAATAGTAAATAATTTTATTTTTAAATAATAAATAAATCAAACTAAATTAAATTAAATTAAATTAAATTATTTAAAATAGTGATTATTATTTATTATTTTAAATAATATATAATATATAGATTATCTTATATTACTAATATAATAAATTATATAATTTATAATAAAATTTATTAATAATACTTCTATATTATTAAAATTATTTAATAAATTTATTTTTATATAAAATATAATAAATAATTTTTTTAGTAAAAATATTTTTAATAAAATAAATACTATAAGAATAATATCAAATAATTAATAATTACTTTTTTTATAATTAATTTTAATTTTATATTTATCAATATTTTAAGTTATATTCTTTATTACTGAATTTATTTAATAAATTATAAAAAATATTTTAAATAATTTATTATATAAATTATATTATGTATATTATATATCTTAATAGTAATTTGATTATAAGAATTTTAAAAAGATAATTTGAAAATATAATAAAAAATAATTAAATAAAAAATAAAATAGTCATAATAATTCTTTAAAATTGATCAAGTTGATTTTATAATAAATATAATAAATTTAAAAATTTGATGTATTTTAAATTTATTTTAATAATATTATATATATATTCCTTAATAATTTTTTAATAATAATTTTTCGAAATAATATTTGATTAATTATTACTTTTTTATTTCATTTTGCAATTATTAAAATTAATATCATTAAAGAATTGTATTGTTAAAAAAATATTATAAATATAATATGTATTAAATAAGATAAATAATTACGTTATATAACTATATATTCTAAGATTCTCTTTTAAGTTGGATATTTAAATTAGAATTTCCCGTTCTAAATTTAATATTTCTACTTGACAAAAAAAAATTTTGATTGTCTATATCATATCAAAACAAAATGGTAATGATGTAACCATTCTAAGATATGTTTTTAACCAACCATAGATATTTTTAGATAACCCTTTTTCTCGAAAAATCTTTTGATTAATAATGACAAATAAAAAAATTTCTCAGTGATATATTTAATAAAATTCATTGATTAAGTTAATAAATATCGATATAAAAAAAGAAAAAAAAATTAGATCATAATTCTAAAAAATACAATCGTTGATCCGTGAGAAAATCACTTTATGCTTGCGTCACATTTCTTTGAATTCAGCCTGCGCAATTTATAAATTTTCCGGATTAAAGCATATCAATCCGAACTTAAATTTAGAGGATAAGTAATTCGTAATCGGGAATTTATTTTTTTTTTTTTTACTAGAATTCTTGGTTACATGTTTTTTTTAATGAAAAAGTTTCAACTTCTTACTTAAAAAAGTAAAAATAACATTTATTTACCCAAAAATCACCATTGCCAAAATATTATTAGCAAATATTGTGCACAACAAAAAAGCGAAAAATTAAATAACCAACTTGGAAAAAAAAATAATTTTAAACGGTAAATTTTTCTTTGAGTTATTGTGTCATAGCACTCCTACTTAGCCTCCGCTATATATCTCAAATATACAACCTATCATATCAAACAAGCTTATACTTCTTTTTTATACATATTTTCCCACCGTTCTTATTATTTATTCTATACAGAACGAACGCAAAAAAAAAAAAAAAAAAACGAAGAAAGTATAGTTTGAGAAATATGTCGTTCAAGGCTAGAAGCGGCTTCGAGTTCACTTTGCTAAACTACAATAACTTATCAACAAAAGTTTACAGTCCTCCTTTTGCCACTTCCTTTGATACGTTCTGGCAACTAAAGTTCAAACCGGTAGGTTTTAAATGTATATTTTATCTTTTATCGCTATTTATGCGAGGTATTCTGTAACACCGTGGGAAACAATTACAAAAATCAGCGGACGAAACTTGAAAATAGACATATTCCTTGTAATATAACATATAACACTTTGTAAATAAGTTACTGCGGAATATCGAAATAACCATTTATTGATGATTGCCTTTTGGCTTCGGATGATAACATGAACATTAGTTTATCAATTTACGACTTTATTAACCTTTTTCTTAACATCTTATTTTATTTTATTTTATTTTTTAAAATTCCCGTTGATTTTTCCTATTTATGTTGATTATAAAGACATCAAAAGAAAATCCAGAATATTGCTCTGTATATCTCGTCGCCATTCCAAGTCATGAAGAAGGTGGCACGACATCAGCATGGACAAATCGTGCAACGTATTCTGCTGATATTTATATCAAACACCCGGAAACTTTAGTTGAAATAAAAAAGGCAACGTTGGACACAACAAAGTTCTCCGCTATTAAACCATTAAGGGGTAATCTATCCTAAAAAAAAAAATTTTTTTTTTCTTTTTTTTTTGTCTTTTCTTTGCCCATAACTGATTAAAATATCACACTTAACCTTTTAACGATCAGGTTGGAATAGGTTCTGCAAAAAAACCTTGCTTCCTTGCGATCAAATAATACTTGGTATAGAATTTGATAAAACCGAATTTGGTACTCCTGACGAAAAGCCAAGATTTCCTGGAAATGGGAAACCTTTCCCAGATGATCTGGTGACGGCCTGGGCGGATCAATTGAACAAACCAGAGTATGCTGACGTAGAATTTAAAGTGCAAGGGCAATCGATTTATGCAAATACAACGATACTTATGCGAAGATCTGAATATTTTCAAAGAATGTTTGTAGGAAGATGGATGGAGTCAATCAAATATAATCAAGGTGAAGAAGAACAGCAGACACAGCAACAGCGACGACAACTGGAGCAACAAGTTCCGACACCCGAAGATGATGATGATACTGATATGGATAGCAACACTTCTGGAAGCAATTCAACATCATCTCATAAGCGAAGGAGAGTTTCCGATACCGAAAGTGATGATGATGATGACGACGATCGTTCCGTCCGAACGATGTGCTCATCCCTATCAATAAAATCAAAACGAATTGTGATTGATGTTACAGATTTTCATCCGGATACATTTCTTGAAATGTTGCGATTTCTTTATACAAATCGAGTATCCTTCGGAACTAGGGATTCCCCAACATCTCCTGTGAATCTTTTCAAAATTGCAGATAAATATTTAATAGAAAACTTACAACAACACGCCAAAGTAAAATTATGTCGAGGATTGAACGTAAACAACGCAGCCGAGTTTTTATTCAGTACAGCATGGCAATACGATGAATTGAGGAATCATGTGATGAGCTACGTTGTGCAAAACTTCCAAATCGTGTGTAAGACATCTGGATTCAAGAACATTACTTCTAATCCTACTAACTATCCACAATTTCATGACTTAATTACCGAGATCTTGCATAAAGTATTTGCAGATGGTGATTCAGATTATAGTGATTAATTGAACATCCTTCTCCTAGTGAAGAATGAAAAAAAATATGGCTATTATTTATACTCGTGTACTCGAAATTGATTTGACATTTCGGTATTGTGTGTAGTATCTATCATAGCATTATGATTATTATAATAATTATTATTATTTCACCTTTTTTTGTTGTTGGTTTAAACATTTTTTTTTTAAAAAAAAAAGATTTTGCATTTCTTTATTATTATTATTGTGACCTATTGATTTTCTTTTTTATTTTAATTAATGATTTTTTTATTAATGAAAGATGTAAAGTAATAATAATAGCTACGAATTGCTGACGGGTAAAAAATAATTTGACTGGACTGGAAAACAAGCTATGGCACGTTCTTTTTTTATTATTTGTGTTGAGCTTGATATGGTCGTCATAAAGACCACAAAATTGTATTTTCATTTTTTATTACTATTATATTTTATATTTGTCCAACATTTGTATATTTTTTTTTTTTTGTCTTTCCTATATATACATATACATATACATTTTCTTACATTTCCATTTGATGGTCACCATTATAATGATTATTTTGATTAGCATTGAAATCATTGAAATCCTCCCACTCATCGGCATCATTCTCCTCATCATCATTAATTTCATTAGCATCATCCTCTTCGTCTTCTGATGTGGATGAAGGCTTTATAAGGGCGTTAATGGTTTGTAAGAGTTCTCGTGTATGTTGTAAAATGCCTTCATCATCCGAATCAATTTTATGATATAACTAGATAAGTTTTTTTTTTTAGTCATAACAGATGTGAAGGGAGAATATGGGTATGGATTAGTGATTGTTATAGAGAAAGGAGAGAGAAGCGCAGTTAGCATCGAAGTTTATAAGGAAGAGTGTGAGGATAATTGTTATAATTACCAAAAAAAAAAGATGAAACATAATAAAATTAATAAAGTAATTATTAAAATTACCTTTTCGCAATTAATTAAACAATCACGAGCGTCATCCAAATATGTTAAATGATCTTGTTCATTTTGAGAGTCTTGACCCATAAGAAAGTAACACCAACCATATAAATACCATAAATCTAGTATTTCATCATCTTCTTTTTGTAAAATCTCGAGTATATTTAATGCTTGGGTGTATTGAGAAAGTTCAATTAATAATTTTACCAGTGAAATACGCAACTCATATGAAGGTATTGAAGGATGTCCTTTATTTTTGGGGTCAAAAAAAAAAAAGGAAATTATTTTTATTTTTTTAAAATTAAAAGAAGAGATTGAGGGTTCTTTACATAAAGCACACAAACCTGGATCTAGATTGATCCATAAATTCAGACTCTTTTCTAAATTAATTTTAGCATCATCGTTTCTCTGTTGAGATAATCTAACAGAAGCTAGCAATTGATAAACTTCGGGATTCGATGGATCTATCTCCAAGGATTTACTTAAATATTCCTCACATTTTTGTTCTGCGTCCTCCTCAAAACTAAAAAAAAAAAAAATTTCATTAAATATATAGAAAGCAATTCTAAATTTTTCGTGAAGTCAACTATAATTTACCAACAATCAGTCAAGTAAATTTCGGTCATTGAACATAACGCGCTAGAAATTTTTCGACCTAATTGATGCTTATCAGATCCTTCATCAATTTTGGTAGCCGTTGATGTATATTCTAATATCATTAAATCGACACCCTTTTGAAAGCAAGAAATGGCTTCCAAGCTCTCGGACAATTGACCCATATACATATATTTTGAGTATCCTTGATCTGGATTTATTGAAATGGCTTTAGAAAAATGCTGGAATCGAAGATGATAATAAGAATGAAAAAAAAGGGAGGGAGAATCATAATAATAATGATAATGATAATCAATTAATTAAAGATGATTTTTTATTAAAATATCTATATCTATATATATATACAAAATGATTTCGAAAAGAAAAAGTTAACTAATTAAAAATAATGAATTTAAAAACACCGCCTCCCAATGTCGAATTCCAATTAAAACACGTTTTATCAAAAAGAAAAAAAAAGGATGCACTCGTAAAACCTTACCTCTCTCGCTTCATCAAACATTCCCAATTCAATTTCCACCATTCCTAAAATCTCCAAAACTTGCAAGTTATCTTTCTCCATGCTTATGGCTCTTTTAGCAAATTGAAGTGCTAATTGATAATCACAAGTATCTATCAACGAAGAAATTTTCGTCAAGAGATCTGATACGTTATAAGACACTCCATTATTAGTGGTGACATTATTTTTATTTGTATCTATAATGTCTTCTTGCATCATTTTTTTGAAGAAATTTTTTTATCGTTGATTGATTTTGTTTGATGAAAAAAAAAAATTTTTTTTTTTTGGGATTTAACTGATCGAATTTTTTGGTTATCACGTGTGATTAATCAAAATTCCCCAATACAGAAATTTGTAAGACCCAAAAAAAAAAAAATAGGGAATGATATAAAAAGGTATTTACTCCGAAGAATCGAGAAATATTGATTTCAGCCTAATGAATGAAAAGAATGACGATTTACTGCATAGATTAACTAACTATAAACCTTGGGTAAAAAAAAAAAAAAACTTATTTTTCTTTTCAATGAGAACAAATAAAGTAAGTTATAATAATCAAATCAGATATTATTTATTCAAAAATGATGCAGCTTTTTTTTAATACAATGGACTTTCCCGACACGGTCTGATTCGATTTTCCTTAATTGAGATTATATTATGTATTTACTTAACCTAATATTCTTAAAAAAATTTTTTTCCTTTGACAAACGCCAAGATGAATCTTTTCGATTAGGCGAGAAACCAATGATCTTTGTCAAATAGGAAAAACCGTGCTCTTTCTCTCTTCATATGATATGTATGCGAAATGTCGCGTTTATGCGTAGCGAAGCCTAATGAATTACGATATGAAATCGAATAATGGGATAATGAGAATCATCACGGGGCGAGCACGAGTTTCACTCTATTTGGCGTAAAAATAAATAATATTTGCCTTGAACAAAAATTATTTTTTTTTTTTAAAAAAAAATTTTTTTTATCGAACCAAATGGGCTAATTTTTTTTTATTATTATTACCTTAATTAAACCTTATCAGAGATGACAAAACCGACTTATCTTAAAATGATATCAAGAAATGAAACAAAAAAAAATTTTTTTTTCTTTCATTATTTGTGCACAATTTGATTGAATAGATTATTGAAATTTTATTCACATTGTACTCTAATTTCTCACCATGTCCAAATACAGTATAAACCTTCCATCCAATGAAAACTTAACTAAGCCAATAGGAGCAACACAGCCCAATTGACCTATCAAAGCTATTTTGTCAGAAGATTCCCAAACTTTATTTTGTGATTTATGTTTTAACAAGGTTGGACTTTTTTTTTTATTATGATATACAGATTAAATCAAAACTTTGACTATTTTTTTAAAAAAAAAAAGCTTTGTCAAAAAAAGTTGCACCTCGAATTCCACCTTTACGCGTATTAGGGAGTCCCCTTGATACATTATGCGTTTCGATTCTTTTTTCCGTTACAGGAAAAAGAATTTGGCGGGAGTCCATTGAGTAGCGTGACACCGAACATCGACAAAGTTAAAAAAAGGTAGGATCAAAACAAGAAGCATCCCATAAATCGGAAGGATTAGACGATGAGTCAACAAAGGGTTAGTTTCTTTGAGAAAACAACGTGAAGGGGAATTTAGCATAACAAAAAAAAATCCCTTACAGGTAAACCATTTCGGTTTAGACGGTGGGCAGCCAAATTTCCAAAGATAAATAAGATACGATAATTTTAATTAGTTGGGTTTGGTCTTGCGTTCTTATTTGTTTATTGTTTATTTGCAAACAACTTTGCATTTTTGTTATTTGCAGATTTTTTCCCTAATAATATATATATAATATATATTTTAACTTTATCTTAAAAGTCAGTGCTTCGGAAATCAGTCAATCCGATTGATAGAATCATCTAAATTTATTTAAGGTTCCATTTATGGCATAATCATTTTAGTATTAGGTCAATGGATGTAATGGGATTGGAATAATGAGGTTTTATTAAAATCTAGGAATAGGATTAAAACTAGATTTTTTTATTTGTTTATTTATTTTGAAGGGGGATAAGAAAAACAAAAACAAAAAGAACAATATATTCTTAATATGTCATTCTCTCTCTTTCAATCAAAACCCAAAATTCTTATTCCATATTAAATATTAAAAAAAAAATCATGGCAAAAAATGGTTTATTTGTTTATCTATCCTTCATATCATTCTATGGGAAACGAAGGAAACCTTATAAATTTGGAAGAAAGAATGATGATAGTGATATCATGACATTGTGTTTCATGTCTATTGTTAAAATTCATCTTTTTTTCTTTTTTATCTCAAAGAAAAAAAACGTACACAGAAAGGGTTTTCGAAAAGGACGGCTTGATTATTTATTTGTTTTTTTGTTTTTTTATTATTTATTATTTATTATCTTCTTAAAATGTTATTTGAAACCTCTAAATTTACCCAGAAAAAAAGAACTTGATGGGTCATAAAATCTATCGAATTAATGATGAGTGAATAATAACATGTGATTTACTCGGTTCTTTTTTTATCATTATGGGGAGTAATCTTCTCGAGGGGGAGACTTAAATCGCTTCTTCTGGATGATTGAGGATCATCATATTATGGACCAATATTGGCGTAAACTATTACGATAAACTCATGATCAATTTTGATTAATTTTGTATAACCTTATACACTTTTTTTAATAGATATCTTTTTTTTGTTTTACAAATTTTGAAATCAATAGTTCTTTATTGATCAATATTCATCCTTTATATACTTTACATACTTAATTACCGAATATACCGACAAATTCACGTTCTTATCTTATCAGATCGTTTACCTAGTAGCTAAGTGAAGGAGTAAATATTTATCGAGTTGACATGTTTTTTTTGCATACGTCAATTCGTTGTTAATTATATGTATATATCATAATATAAATATAATAATAAAAATATGTTTGAACCAAATTAGTTGGTGTAATTTGTGCTCGTGTTGTGATAAACTGTGATTAACACGCCAAGTTACGGAAAGAGAGAGAGAAAAAATGAGAAAAAAAAATCATTGTTAACCTAAAATAAAATATTGTTACATTGTTACATTTTTTTTTTTAATAGAAATTTTTTTCCTTTTTTCCCTTGATAACAGATTTTTTCATTTTCTATTGAGAAAGGAATTAAAATTTTTCAACATCGAACCGTTTTTTAATCAAACTTGACCGTTGATTTTTATATAAGATGAGAAAATGAGTTTTTGAACAAAGGAAGTTGATTGATATTCTAATCCCAACAAAGAAGAGGCGCAGTCACGCTCCAATTGCATCAAGCAAGGAGGCGTTGAAAAAAAAATATGTAATCGTTAGAATGCAATATGCGAATGCGGAAGACTGAAATTGAAATTGTGTTTCCAGAATGTCACTTCATGTGAAACCACGAAATGATATCATTCAATATCCTAAAGTAAACCAAATAAAAAAAAAAAAGGATGAAAAAGGTAACGACACAAGTAAAGGTAACTTAATAATTCTTGTGCTTTTGTCAATGATCTTCACATATTCATGCCGAATTCGAACTCAATTTAACCCCCACTTGACCTAGAATATCTGAACTTTGACATTGATAAAAAAGTGAAATTTTAAATAAAAATCCTTTCCTCTCTTTTTATCTCATTTATAGAAAAAGAATAATTTTTTTTATAAAATATATTTTAGCTTCCTTTTGTTAAATACATACACATATAAATAAAAAAAAATTCCCTTTTTTTTACTTTTTTATTTATTATAGATAATAAGAAGTACTTCAATTAATTACTTTGTGCTATGCTTTGTGGAGTCATCGTTTAAGAGGTGGTAATTTATTAAACTACTTCCCCTTTTTTACTGTTTATTCCCATCCTTTCCCCCTTATAAATTTATATATTGATACTTTATATAAGAAAAATAAAAAAAATTAAAAATAAAAAAAAAACCGGCTTTTTTTTTAATATATTATATATATAGACATATATATACCACCAGCTTTTTACATCAAAAAAAAAATTTTTTTTTTCTAGTTCTGAGGAGAAAAAAAAAAAAAGAAACCCAAAAAGTTTCAAAAAGAAAATTTAACTTGAAAAGCTTTTTTATTTTAAAAAAAAATAAAAATTTCTCGAGAACAAAGAAAGAAAAGAAAAATTCCCCAATTTACAGAAAAGAATACTTTGAACAATAAAAATCTTATCTAACTTTCAGGGGTCAAAAATCTTCCCTTTCGAGAAAATTTATAATAAAAATTATTCATAGACTTTTATTTTATAACAATTAATACAATATGACGAAGGAAATAACGCCTCCGATAAATCCAACAAATACCACTACTACAAGTGCAAATACCACGACAACAACAATAACCCCTCCAACTGCTCCTCCGGATAATAATAATACTAGTGAATATCAGAGAAATTATTCTTGGAAGCTGCCAATGGTCTCAGTACATAGACCAAAAGAACGATCGAAATCCGAATATCAACGTGAATTTACATGGACCCCTCCCGCTACACCGCCCGTTCCATCACCTGCACCATCACCTGCACCTGTTGCCCCTTCCCCCATACCACAAGAGTCATTTACTGCTTGTAACACTCCCGAACCAGTAAAATCATCATTTAAATCAAATATGGTGAATGCATCTACTAATAATGCTATTGATTATATAGGATCAAAATTATCGGAACTAAATGTCACTAGCAATAATAATAATAATAATAATAATAATAATAATCAATACAATGCATTCGATCCGGAATTCTCGGCTAATAATAATGCTGCCGACAAATGGAAAGATGGTTTACGAAATAAAAATTCTCCCGAGGTATTTATAGTGGTTTTGCCTTTTATGGTTAAAGTTATATATATTCTGCGCCATTCTAATCCCTTTTTTTATTTTTAGTCTAGACAACCAACACTTGCCACAAGTTTGGATCCTCAAACGAAAAAGATTGTGGCTTTAGAGGCGAATCGTCTTTCCAAAAAATCTCGTTCTTATTCAATGTACTCTTTACATGATCAATTAAAGGTAGCGGAAGCTGCAAATGATTTGTCAAGTCATTTCGAAACCGAATATAAGCGTGAATTTGTAAACTGGAGGGAATATGGTTCCTCTGTAAGAGAAGACACTGCGGCAAATAAGAATAGTCAGGTTATCGATCATTCTTTAAAACGAAGAGGTTCTTGGTCCGCTCCTTCTTTGCCTGCTCCCCTTAGATGGCTGGAAGGTTTGAATTTAGATATTGGTTCACGTGAAAAATTACAACCAACCATAACTGATGCCAAATCCATAAGAGGAATAACAACTAAGATAACTGCCAAACCTTCATTACAACGTCCGTCCACTTCGGCCGAATTTCGCGATTATCATTATGATGACAAACGTCCCAACACCTCTGCAGAGTATCGTGAATATCAACATGATGGCAAACGTCCCACTAACACAACAGAGTATCGTGATTCTTATTATGATGCCAAACGTCCGACCACTTCTGCGGATTTACGTGATTATTCCCGTCCAATGACGTCCGCGGATTTACGTGATTATCGTAATGATGACTATTATGGTTCACAACGTGATGGCAAATCAACTTCAAGGAAAGATAGTAATTATTCTCCATTACGTTCTTCCACAACTATGACTTATTATGATGATCGTGAACAAAGTAATAGTAACAGGCGGGATCATGATTATTCGGATGTTCGAAAATATAGTGATCGTACACGAGAGATCGTTTATGAAGATCGTCGACGAGAAAATGAGTACGATTATCGTAGACGGGAAGATAACGGTTATGAGGAGGAATATGACTCTAAATATTATAGTCGACCTGTGCAAACTTCTGATCAAGAACATTATCATTCTAGAAACCTTTCATATTCTTCATCAAATAAGGGTTCGGTTCATGAGGAGCCAACAAGTTTATCTGGGACGAATCCTAATTTGGAGGCATTGCGTCATCGATCGAGTGTTAGTTCTGTAAGTTCAGTATCAACGCCGAGTTCACCAGCAACTCCAAATGGTTATGATATTAATGATTTACGTTGGAGAAGAAGCAATGGTTTGGATCCACGTATATACAAAGAACAATATTATTCTCCTTCAATAGCTTCAAAATCTTCTTCAAGTTCACACAAGTATTGGCAATTTGAAGATGAAAAAGATAAATATTTTCAAACCGCTTCTCGAAAAAATTATTATGATGATGATGATGATGATTATGAATCCCTTGGAGGTTATTCAAGCAAACGTCAATCTCGTGATCATAAATCAATGTCTCCCCACAACTCTGCACTAGCATATGATGGTTATGGTAGGAAACCACAAACATATTCAACTTATTCTACACGTCCACCGTCACGTGCTACAAGTGTCAGCAGTCACGGTACTTCAATAGAAGAAGAGTCCGCTATACTTACAGACATGCTTAAAGAGGCTGATTTGATGACACTAAGAAATTTAACTGATCAAATGAATGTATTTAGACACAGGGATCTTGATGTAGGAGGAGTTCAAAAAGGAGTCCAAAAAGGAACTCAAAAAGGAGTTAAGAATACAGGTCGTTCCACACCTGTTGTTAATACTGCCAAGAGGTCTTCTATCGTTGCTGGTCAGAAGAAACCCGCAACGACAACAACAAAAGCAGGAACAAAAACATCAAGGACGACAACAACAACAAAACCGCTAACAAGAACACCTACGAAAGCAGGTGTAAAGATCACCGGTACCACCACTACAACCACAAGAGGAACAAAAAACGTTTCCACACCTGGAATTCCTTCTAATAAAAAGAAAGGTCATCGTCCGACTTCTTCATTAGCTTCCGTTTCTTCAATATCTTCAACCTCATCATATCGTGAAGCGTATCAAGATTATTCTAGGCCTCCTCCAACAAATTTCTCTGCCGCAAGAGAAGCTTTAAATAGAGCGAGAATGAAAGTTGAAGAAATGTTGGAAATTGTAAGCAATGGAGGTTCCTTAGATTAATATATATACATATATATATATATTAAATTGATATTATTTATCAAATTTTTTTTTTATTGCAAAAAAAAAAAAATTGATTAGCTTAGCTGATATAAAAATAAAGACATTCTACAACCCTGATCAGAAATTAATGTAGCATTAAAAAGAAAAAAAAAAGTAGTCATTATAATGGATAACGTAATTAGATGGTTTTAGACCTTATTATCATTTTTGCTTTTTTCAAACATAAGAATTGCTACAGACTTTTTTTTACCTCTTTCTTTCAAGAAATAATATTGGTATTGGTGCATTTATTAAGATAAATTGGTTTTAAGAGAAGCAAGCGAACTATTAATTTTGTGGTGAGCTTTCTTCATTAAATTTGGATCTTTAGAAAAAATAACAAAATTATTGAGCTAATAATTTAACGAAACATCAACAACTTATGCTTCCCGTCCATATCGCATTTTCTTTTCCTCCACAACATATTTACATTCTGCATTTTAAATTTTTCAATTTTTTTTTTATATATATATTTTTGTAATTTTAAAATCCATTTTGTCACTTTACATATTTTTACCCCTTGCATATAATTTCTTTTCCGTTTATTTGTCATTAATTAGCATAAATAATCAAAATTTTCACAGTGACGCGTTGCGTTACTAAGTTGGTTATGAAAATCCAATTTGGTATTGGAAAAGGCCTTTCTCGTATTCTAAGCTTTAATCACCTTTCTTGTAATATATTATGTTTTTTTTTAAATAACCCTTGCAAATTTGCAAATTACTTTTTTTTTTTTTTTGTTTATATTTTTTTTTTTTGGATCGAATCTTATCTAATATTTTTTTTTTAAAAAATGATCCAAAAAATTCTTAATGAACAAATTAATGATTAACCTCAACACATTTTATGATTTAACCTTTTAACGACTTAATGATTGTATTTCGATACATTAAAATACCCGAATATCAATTTTTAACACTTTTTAACGAAATTTTTTTATGAAAAAAAAAAAAAAAAAAAAAAAATCTTATCATTTATTATTTATCATCATTTATGTTCTCATACAATTATTAGTTCAATGATTCAAGAAGATATTCATTCTTTATTTATTAAAAAATTTATTTTAAAGTTCGATTGTTTTAGATCTTTGCACCAAAATAGTTATACAATGAGTACTTGTTCTTTTTTTTTTTAATTATCATAGAAAAGAAAAAGAAAGTATCATTTGTGAATTATTTTAGTATAAATCTGCTCCAAGCACATTTATTTGTTTAATACCAAAGGTATTTTATTTATCTTGCTGAAAATTACAAAATGTTTATCATAATTATTATTTTATGTATCGAAAAAAAGAAAAAAAGAAAGCCTCAATAATAATGGGGTAAAGAATGATAATAAAAAGTGCATCGAATTTTGATAGAATATTTTATTATAGAGTATAATGAAATAATTTTTTCATTTATTGTGGTGATATAATGGTCATTTCCCTTTTCTTGTATAATTTATCATATTTATTTTTGTATTTTAGTTTTAAAAAAAAAAAATTGCGAATCATAATAAAAAAATATTTTAAAACAAAATAAAAAACGTTTATAAAATTAAATACTTTAATTATTTACTTAAATTATATTATTAACCTAAGTACAGTCAAACCTCTCTAAGTGCACCCACCCTCCTTGGGACCGGACATAGGGAGGGTGTGTATTTAGAGAAAATGTACATTTTACACAACACGATAACAATAAATTTATCTCATTTTGGCCGAAATTGAAATTTCGGCCAGAATTAGTAATGATAATTAATTCATCATCAAATTTCTCAGGTCCACTTTTTGAACTAAGTGGTAATGTAAATTTTGTAATTTTACCTTTAATATTCGCGTTGGCAATTTTCTTAGAAATATAACGGGTAATTTACTGGGTAAAGTAGCACTTGTTGTTCTTCTCATTCTTTATTAAAATACTATTCTATAGTGATTTGCTTCAATAAACCTTTTTTTTTCTAATAAATTTCTCAATAGCATTTACAAACTTTAAACACTCAATTGCTCCTTTTTGCTGGAGTAAAAATGCTGCATATTTTCTAAACTTTTTAATACTTCACTTATACTAATAGGCTCTACTTCAAAAGTATCTTCATCTTCTTTCAAGTTTTCATTAGATATTTTTTTAAATGTATTGACTAAAGATGGGAACTGTAATTAATATGTTGCAACTTTTAATGTTGCAACTTACGTTGCAATTAGTTTTAACCTATATATGTTGCAACTTATAATGTTGCAACATATGTTGCAACTAATTTTAGCTTATGTTGCAACATTTTGTAAATTTGAAATTAATTGCTGTACCATCTTTAAATTTGACGTATAAAATTTAACAAAAATTACGTATACATTATACTGATTAGACTTATAAATTCTGTATTTTTTTGCATACGGAAAAAGTAGATTTTCAGTATCTTGTATACGGAATTATTTACGAATTTATTATAATGTTTTTCTACGTTTTTTATACATTTTTAAACTTATTATTTTTGTATACTTTCCTTATACTGATTATTTATAGGGTAGAAAAGGCTTACGACAGCCTGTCTGAAAATTTTATAATATCTTTTTAAAGTATGATATTAAGCAATATGAAAGATCATAAGAAACATCAAATCAGAAAGCTTGATCCAGTAGATAACTCATTCTTCATATTGATGAGATAAAAGATGCAAAAAGATTCAACAGATTAAACTCAACTCTCCAATGGCCTTTCACTTTTCTGATCTCAGGACAGATTAACTCAGGAAAAACTAATGAAGTTGTGAATCTATTATTGGGAAATAAGCTATATTGAATGTTTAATGAAAAAAGGAAGGGATTCGTTTTATCAAGAATGATGATTAGTACTTATCGGTCACCATCTTAAGAAATTAAAATATTTATATCTCAAATCTGATTATCAGATAATTGTGAATAGTCCAAAACCATATCGCGAAGATATCATATTTTGGGCTATAAAGTCTGATAAAATTCCAAAGTTAGATTTATTCTCTCCAGAAAGAGATACAGTAGCCATATCGAGAATGTATGCGCTGATTCAAAGAAAGTCCAGGAGAAATTTGTTTCTTATTTTACTGAAAGGCGTCACAAAAATATTAGCAGTATATACATCACACAAAGCTTTTTAGACTGCTGAGAAATAATAAGAAAAAACTTAAATTATGTTATACTTTTCAATAGGTCTACTTCAGAAGAATTGAGCAGAATTCTCTACTTTTATGCTTATGATTGGTGTAGTATATATGAAGATGTCGTTAACTATTTGATTGATCACAATTTTATTGTCTTTGATTTAACAGTGCCTTCAAACCATTCTCACAGGATACGAGCTGGATGTGATAAAATTTTTGAAAAAAATGTTTAAGCTAGTAAGTAGAATATGACTTAACAGATGTTAGCTTTTTTTCTACCTCCTATACTTGCATCTTCAGATCCTTGATCTGTAGCATAATATCTTATTTTCACTAACTCTTTCTCTATAATCATTATCTATGTCTTATATCATTTTTCCAAAAGTCTTTCTATTAAGTCAAACAGATGTTGAGATAAGACTTTAAGTTCATTCATAACTCAGTGGTTATTTTCTTCCTTGAAATTATAAGAGATACTATCAGTTTAAAGCTCACTATTTAAAACACATACATATGGTAATGCTGGAAATACATCACATTCTGGTTAACTTCGAAAACGTAGTAATTTTTTCTGAGTCATATTTTTACATTTTCTATTTAATGAATTCTTATAAATCTCTAATATGTACCTCAAATAAGATTCAATTACTTTGGACTTTCCAGAAATAGATTCCCTTTCTCAAAGATACTTTTCAGAAGTTTAACCAAATAAAGACAAGAAAAATTATTTTACAATCAAATAATAGAATATTTTTTTTGAGCTATATAAAGAAAAAAGGAAAATATACCCATTAGGATATAGCAATGAAATGTTTTAATTCATGCGTCAGTTTCGTGACACATCTGGCAGATTGGCTAGAAATATTAGCTCTGATCAAGAATTTCACATAATATTATGATCATCAAAATCGATGAAAATAGGTTATTTAGTCAACTGTAAACAAGTTTATGTTTTTTGCCCAGAAAATAATAGGTTATGAAATCTATTGTTGGTGGTACTTTATTAATATAGTAAAAAATATCATTGCGAATCACTTATCATGTGATATGAAAACAGAGTCATAACTTTTGTTTAGAAAATATTTTTTATTATTATACCCTAACCATAAATCTTAGCCACGAAGTATATAAAATTACATGTATAAAATAGATTTCTATTCTATAGATTTTTTGGAGTCGAAATAGTTATTGTCATTTCACTAGAACTATGTTCACTATCTCCAAAATCGGTATTATGCAATATTTTATGAATTGTACTTGTGATGGCTGTCAAAGTATAAATAAGAGGGTATATTGGTGAAGTCATATGTAGTGAAATCAGTATTTCCTCTATTAGGCAGTATTTGTAAATACCAGATTCTCTACGTATGACATATAGTTTCATAACGTTGCCTAAAAATATTTAAAAGCAATGTGGTTAAGAATTTATTGATTTATAATACAAGATTGAAATATGAAAAAAATAGTTATAGGCACTTTTACATAATACATTACCTGCAATGTTTATAGCAAATATATATAATATCTGCCTCTTAGATGAAATATTAAATACCCTCTTAAGTTTTGATATTTTTCTAGTAGTGTCGATAGAATCTTTAGAAAATTGTACTAATTTTTTGTGATCTCGCTGACGCTTATCTTGACTGGAATCTGACCTGCTAGTTTTGAGGTATACAACTTCAAACTCTGCATTTTTCTCTAGTTGCACTATAGTCATATAATTGGATTTCGTGTAAATTTACGAAATCCTTTTCGTATAATACTAGCCAAACTCCCCTTTTCACCCCTATTTTAAAAAAAATTATTAAATAAGAAAAAAATAGTGTTACAGTGTTATTTTATAGCTGATATTAGAAGTATTTACTATATATTTTATATAGTAGGGTTTTCAGGCAATTCTCTCATTACTATATTTATTAATGACGCAAGTACTTCACAGACATACGAACTTCGTTAATCAGTTTCCTCTTCTTTGTATAGGCTTTATACTTAGATGACTTTCAAACTTTAAACCTATAAAAAATCCTATTCATTTTCATTATTTATATTGTAAGCTAACATATATAAAAAGGCAGAGTATGATAAGTAAACTCGAGTGAACTTACAAAGATTCTAGTATTTGTCTTGTCATTTCTTGAAACCTCTCAAAGCTATCTAACCATTCTTCAAATTCAACATCATTCAAATCTTCATTCAAATTTATCTTTGATTCCTCATTATGGATAATTTTTCTACAAGTATCCATTATCATATTATTATAATCTAGCTTATATTTCTTGAAAGGTTCCTTAAAAATATTACAAATGATACAGGCATCTTTATAAAAGGTTCTGATTTAATATCTAGAACTCCAGAACATATAGGATGATCAAATCCAAGGTTTTCAATATCAACTTCTTCTAATTCTATCTCAATTCTTTTCACATAATTTTTTGTAATCAGAACTATTATTTATGACCTGTCTAACATCACGTTTTAAAAGCTGTAGATTTGCATTGACATGTTCAGACCATGTCTCAACATCAATTACCAAAGCTTTCATTCCTATGAGCAAGCATAAATCTTCAAATGCAATCTTCACCTAAAATATAGTTATTTTTAGCTCAGACTCAATGTTAATTTAATAAATTAAACTGAATATTACTTCATGGAATCAGATTAGGTTTTCGTTTTTATATACTATCAAAATGCTAGTAGTAAATAAGTCAAAAAGCACACTTGCTAGACATATGGAAGGTGGTCAGTAAAAAAGGGGAAAATCTAAATTTTGGTCAAAATTTATATTATTAGACCACTTGGCTAATCTTGATCATATACAAAAATTTGGCTTAATAATAAAAATTAACAAAAATTTTGGATTTCCTCCTTTTCTACTGACCGCCTCCCATATATTACTAGTTACTGCCATGTGAAAGTGATAGAATAATGTCGAACACAGCATATTCACTAATATACATGCCAAGAAAACCTAAAAATACAAATCATCATATCCATATATTTAGCATAAAAATAATTCATTGTCTTACCGTTTTGCCAATTTTTTTTTAGTACCAAAACTTCGAAGCTTCTTAATCCGTTCAACATCCTCTGAAGGAACCTGCTCTAAAACTCTTTCCAAAACATTTTTAAAATTCTTCACTCCTTTTTGAGAACGCCTGTCTATTTACCTTTCTCTATTCATACAAACAATACCATGGAAATTCTGACGATACCAAGTGATTCTCTTGTTAAAAGGAATTCTTCCATATTTTGATAAAATAAAAGTTAAATGTTAGTATTAAGCTTGCTAAGCAAAGTAAAAAAAATAATGTAAAGGCATAATAATTTCACTATACTGCCCTTTTAATATTTGTAATTTCCTCATTCACATCACTCTATCGAAGCAGAAGAATATGCAATGCTTTTTACACCAAAAATGTTGTGTTCGAGAATAAGGGCATGTAGGGTATGCATTGAAAATCTTGACATTTTCAAAGGCGTTGGTATAATGCATATATGAACTTTTTTTTGCTTGAATCACACAAAGACCCGGCACATATATAGATATTATTCTACTCAAAATATAATAGAAATATCCCATCCCTCCAGATCAAATATACATATCATTAAATGCTATTCTACTAAATATTATTCGGCTAAAAGTTGTAAGGGAAAAAATTCGAAATATTTTGGGGATCGATTTCTTATATGTAAAAATTAATTTGTCGCACAATCAGTCACCGAGTTACAGATGATTTGCGGAGTATCACCTATTACATCATATGCACTTTAATGAGGATCGACCCAAAATTAGTGTGAATGGGCGCACCTATTACGCAAAGGGTCCAGGGATAGTTGCAAAACAAGGAAAATCTCAGATCTTCGTTGAAAATCCACTACCGATCACGAATTAAGATTTCGTCCTTTAATTGCCCTACATTAGTGTGTGTACGATTAAACTATCAGCATAAAATAATTCTTATCAATTCGTCCATTACTACTCTGCTATCCATATGCGAAGAGTTAATCAAAGCCAGATTTTTTATTTGCAATACATTACAAATTAGCGACTTTGCTTATGATACAGTTGAAAGGCGCTGGTCTAAAGAGACCCGCTTCATACATGACAGACTATCCTATTCATTGCGTCTATTCTATCCACCACCCAATAACCCGCTATATTCGTTGTTTTTCATCCTAACCTCCGTTTCATCAGCCGTGACGCTAACGAGAACCCTGAAAGGGAAACTATGTATTGGTTACAAGCTCTGAAGACGACTTCTTGCAAATGCTAAGCCTAAACCGAAAGTAAACCTACCCTTAATTGTATAATGTCTCGTCCGACACTTTGCCAAGTTTCATCATTATTTTCACTGGCACTTTTTCACACTGAGATACGCAGTGAGTATGCCCGTTATATTTGCTTATTTACATAGTTGCAATATTCGTATTTACGGTTGTGAAATTTCGCTTCGGAAAAAAATATATATATATATGCCAATCGCACGTCGCACAGTCGGCAAGAATTTTACCGAATATCTTCTGCGCATTTACCTTAGCGCCTTCGGCCAGGTGATCGGTCCACATGACGAAGTTTTCGCCCTCTATGCTTTTACAGATACTATTAGAATTTCCATGCTGAAGATCATTTCAGCATTTGAGACGACCGTAATAGTCACCAGAATCCTATTCTCCCTTTATATTTTTCCATATAGTTTTTTCTTTATGGTCTCCATTACATATAGGGCAGGATGCTAAGAGAGTCTTTCCTCTGATGACTTAGGTACCGGGTTATCTATAGATCTTTTTTTTCACAAACAGGATAAATCATTGTTCTGTATGTTATTGAAAAATTCACGTGACATCCTGACTATTGGTCAGCAATTTTTGCCAAGAAAAAAATTTCGATCTGTGCACATTTAACGTAAAATAAACACTATTATGTACACGAAACTAGCATAATTTTTTATTATTCTGACCACATTTCATTTGATTTTACATAGTGAATAATAATTTTCCCGAAATACTGTATATCAAGATTTAACACAATGGCGCACCGTGAAACTATCCATAAAAAAAATTAACTACAGGTTCCTACAAATGTAGTAAGTCTAACTTCGTCTCCAATATCTAAAAATTTAACCGGACTAAACGGCTCGTGTAAATACGCCAATTGGTCAGTAACGTCATTGCCGACAAGGACATCTTCCACCTGATTACCGGGATATTCTTCCCAGACCTGAATTTTAGCCGGAACCCATTTAGTCCAATTGTTATCGTCACCAATGGAAATCATAAATACATCAGATGCACCGATCATTAGGGCAGGATACCCGTAACCTTCGGCCATTCTTTCATAAGTGTTCCATCCCGCATTTCCAAGCGTTTCTTTAATGTAATATGGTAAAATTGTCTCTGGCGCGCCTGTGTCCAATACACATGCATATAATTTGTTGTTGCGTTTTGTATCGTAAAAATCATAAGGAATTTGAGCGATTAAATTTTCATTGGGTCTTTTGACACGAACTCTGATCTTTATTTGGAAAATTTAATAAATTAAAATAAAATGTTCAATGACCGTGTAAATTACAACTAACACTAATTTATAAAACAATATTAAACATAATACACCACACCCAACCCGTTAAAATAATAGATAAAATAATTCTCCTAAACATATAGTTTCAATACATATTCAAACCTTGTAGTCATCGCCATTGTTTACACGTCGAACGGTCACCATTCTTGCCGGTGGACTTCGTGGCAATTTTGTCTGATTAACTGGGATTTGTACAGCACCAGGCATAGTTTTGAGTATGAAATTCAATTTATCATCGTCATACATTTGCCCATACTCTATTATTCTTTGATTGTGTACTGTCACCCAATCGTTTTCGTGTCCGGCAAATTCACCCTTGTCAAGTGCGTTGTAGAAAAATAGGAGGTTAAGCCCAACCTCTAACCCAAACTCTTCATCGGATTTGGACCCAACCTTAGTGATGTTATTGAAGGCACTCCTTCTAAGATATTCCGGCATCGAATAAGGCCACCTAAAGTTCTTGCTCATTCGAGCTATAAATAAATCAATTACGTCTACACGTATTGCCACTGTGCTATTCAAGAATATAAAGTAATTATTTATTACCAAGAAACCTTTGTGCTTGACCAGGCACTTTTTCGTACTTGAAAAGAGTTTGTAGCATTTCATGTTCTGTCTGATCTGTTTTAAAAGTGCCCATTACTTTAGCTAAAATAAAAAGTCTAACGAGACGTTGATGGATGTTAATATAAAGGATTTTTACAGAATACGTGCTTATTATATTTATTAGTAAAGAAATATACCCAACAGATGGGATTAAAATGGGTGAGAGCACGCAAAGAATGCAAACTATAAAAAGATAAGCGAGTAATACGAAGGGAAATAAAGAGGAAAACAAGCAAAGGTTTTTAGTGACGTTAAGCATGACTATTTTTTTGGTTTGGAAAGAGTGTCGTTGATCAGTTACTGTCTATACACAATCACATAATCACATGATACAATAGCGCAGTAGATTGAAAGGATCGGCAAGAATTTTCTACTAGGTGGTTCGCCTTTTTGAAAATCATATAAGAAGCCATATGCAATTACGAATTCAGGTACTAGCCACATGATGTTAAGTCGTTGTATAAACCACGTAAAGATTAATCAAGATTAAAGTCTTTTCGATCAATACACTCTTTAAATTTATATATCTTTTGAGGAATCGTGATTTCCGGATTCTCATCATACCATACTTCAAGAAGATAAATTCCATTAAGCTGACATAGGGTTCTTTTTTTCCGATCACGATCAACAATATCCTCAAGTTTTTTGACATCTTTATACCAGCTAGTATTATGAAGCCGATGTTGTGCCCCTTGCACTTCTAATGCCATTCGATGATGTTGGAAGAAAGCATCAAGTTCTAATCCCCTCATAAAAGATGGACGATATTCAACTATGGGTTCCTCTCCAAGCAATACTTGAGCAATTAGAATACATTTCTCCTGAAATTTACGATTCTTCTTTGACTCTAATTCTTTTTTAAGTCCATCTATATCTTGTTCCAATTTCACAACTCTTGCCCTAAGTTCAGAGTTCTCGGCAACAGTATCTGTCCTGTTTTTCTCTAGCTCCTCGATTCTGGCCTTAAACTCAGCTTTTTCAGCATCACGCCTGGTATAATCCTCCCTAATCTGCTTTAGAAGCTCAATATACATATCCTCAATATCAGCTTTCTCGGCCTTAATCTTAGCATTCTCGGCCTCAAGCTCTGTAATGTGCTGATTCAATATTTCATGCTCGGATGACATGATTGATTATAATTTCATACACAACAAGAATAATTCAATGTTACGTGGCAAATGTAAAAACGTTTTATTATTACATGCGAAAAATAAATACAAATGTTCGGGACTTTGCCCGCGATACATGACGAAGTTTCTATGCTACTATACATGCGAAGCGCCCTACGACCGGCTATTCCTTAATATATTTTTTCGTCCTTGCTCTCTTACTTTCTGGAGCGTCATCAACCTCTACCCTATCTTTCAACAAACCTACGATTACCCCAAGACCTCCTTCACTCCTTGACGAAGTTTCGCATCATCATCTAAAATATCCTCAGTAAGGTCAATGTGATAGTCGGCCTTCGTACAATAAATTCTTTCTGGCGTGTACATGATAAAGTACCAATCCGTAGCTAGAATCCCGCCCAATCATATTATTCATGGTCGGAGGTAAGATATCAGAGTTAGCTAAAATTTTTTCCGAACATAAGAGACCGGAGGAAAAAATAAAAACAATCTCACCTGTTGTAACGATCCCGTAGAGGTAGTCGAAATCATCATCGAAAGCTTCAGATGCCTTTCATTTTCTCTTATTCGTGTGGTAGGAGCTTTCGAGTTGCATCACATTCTGCATGATGCCCAAGACCTCTTGATTCTGCTTTCCTTCGGTGATGCAAATAAGTTCCTCGTTTAATGAATCTATTATTTTTTTGATTGCGTAATCGACTCGTCCTGTTGCTTCTTCGCCAACGACTTTGAACTGTGGTTCCAGGGAGATTCTCTTCCGGGTGATATCTTTGACTATATACATTGCTGAAAGTAGTATTGCCTCGATATACGAACAGCGCACAGCCTCATTACTGCTTTTTGCCGAACCTATAATGTCCATTTTTCGCTTAATATCAGTTATACAGTATTGGAAGTGTTTATCGACCTCATCGATTTTCACAGGCTCTGGTACGAATGGTGGAATTTTTTTTTATATCATTACTATCGATGCCATATTTGCGTAGCACATCACTTAAGTCTTTCAAGGTTTTGTAGGACGAGAACGACTTTAATTTACGCTTGCTAAGTTCTTTAGCGAAGTCAGCAAGGTATGAAGCGGGTCCACCTGCCATCCCATAACTTCGAAGTTCTTCTTTGGTTATCTTGAGAAAGGCACGACCAGTAATCTTTTCTTTTTCAATAATCTTCAAGTCATCGTCGTCAAGCACCAAGTCCTCTTCTTTACGCAAGAAATTTATAAGTTCATTCGTTTTATATTTTCGAACCACCTCAGCTTGAGTTGGAGCATTTTTTTCTTCCGTTATAGTAGCGGAAGTAGAGGTAGAAGTTGGTGTATTAGTTTCAGAGGTAGACATAGCGCTTTTTATATGGTTATTAGGCTCGGACAAAAAATAGTGTTACGTTCCGGAGTGAGATAAAATTTTATTTCTGTTCGGGAAAGAAAATTTTTATGTCGCACAGGCATTGCATCATTACACGTGACCCATTTCTCATTTTATTTATGAAATAAAAAACGTTGCCAGAACTTGGCTTATAATACATAAAAAATTGCGAATAGATCGCCTTTACATGATGTGAATAAAAATATAACTAGTTTAAAATTCGTTCACTTTCTGATTCGCTAGAGCCCAGTATCCTCGGGATCTTTTTCCAACGCTTCCTGGAGGTATACAATAACATGAATAGGACCTATTTCACCATCATATTGAAGATAAGGAGGGTTTTTTAAGTCCTTCTATATCTTTCACGGAAAAATAATAAGTAAGCTTATTGGGAGGCTCAATCAATTCCCCTTGTCTTTTTTCAGTAGTATTCAAAGTATTGACCAAAGCATGATTGGCTTGTTTGAATTTTCTTACATATAGATCGAAGTTTTTTTGACTTAAGTCTCGCCGGACCTTTCTGATTTTGACTCCTAGATTTTCAACAGTTGAATTATTATCAATTACTACAGGGAAAATATCTTTCTCAGTCTCACCACAAACAAAGCAGACGAGACGAATATTACTAGTAGTGGAAGACATCTTGCTTTCCTAAATACAAGGCCCATGATGAGAAAGAACGAGCTCTCATACATACATAATTTTTAGCATATACATACCTTATTTTGCGTTATTTTACGGATATTATTTTTGGGAAAAGTTGGCTGAACTTACATGCTTTATATCCCTTTTTTCTCACTAGATTCGAAAAAAGATTAGCCTTATTGGTTTGACTATTCTCCTGAGAAAATCTATTTTTGAGGGAGTGTGGAATCTTCATACCTTTTCACAAGAGATCTACCAGAAAGACATATAGTTGGTTTTACGCCTAGCGATCTCAAAATTGTGAAGTCCTCAGTCTTTCATAACATATGCTTTTGTCATCAATATTTACTTTTACGGTAGGTCCTGTATTGCGTGTAGACTTCCTTTCACATTTTTCTCATGTTTGTTGGGAAAA